AAAAAATAGAGGTCATTTGGACTTCTAGAACTTCAAATATGGTCCAAAAATGGAACAATGCGTGGGCTATAGGATAGATTTGAGCTTTTTTGTTGTTGCTATAATTTGGACTTGAAAATGACCTTTTTAAATCTTGGCCTCCATATGAAAGTTATAGGCTTATGTCTTACCTTTCCATCCATATAAAGTAGACCTAAATCTAAGATCTACAGCTCCAGATATGACCCATTTACCGAATAGTGTTCTAGTTTGGACTGCACCAACATCTTTTTTCTAAGTTTGGCCATCTCTTTGTCCTTTCAATTTTAGTTCTTAAATTCATCAATCAATCCTTTCATTTATGTTATAGGCCTGCATTTAAAATGAAAATTTACCACAAATTAAAGGTATCTTATATTATTAGATATATTATTATAAAACATGCTTTAGTTAAGAAGTTATTGATACTTCAAGTGCAAAATGTTAATATAAAACCTTGATAAAAATGCACTTTTAAATACTAATCAAGGACATGATACAAAAAAACCAATCATGTAGCTCAACAACAATCAAGATACAATATTGCCTTTAATAATCATGAATAATCCTTGTAAAGAATATTGATAAATCATCTATAGCTAATGTCTAATAAAGATGTCAAGTTATTTCATGGTAAAAAAAAAAAGCATAAAACAGTAACAACAAGAATGTTTTGGGAATTTTACCACGTACAATTGTCTTAACAATATTAGTTTTCTTGATTCTAAAAAGGATTGGAGATGGAAAATTAAAAATTTCCTACAAAAAACCTGACAGAAAGTTTCAAGGTGTTTGAAAAATGATTGAAGGCCCATCAACTAAGAAAATATACCGTTCCCAACACGGAACCTTCACCTTTTATTTATTCTATCATGGCTCCGTTATCATCCCTATCAATATGATTGGGTTCTGCATACCGATGTCAAATGCCATTCACATTGAGCATCGAATTTATACACCAACCTTCAACAAAACAATTTTTTTTACGCCAAACTTCACTGGCAAAACATGTTCAATCGATTTGAAGTTAGGGACATTTGGCAAATGATACAATACTTCGACATGCTTATGTACATCACCTTGAGGCCATTTTTACAATCAAGCACCTCTTTCTCCTTCCTAGAAATACAACCCCACATGTGCATCTCAGCAAAAGCGAGTGATCACAGGCTATTGACAGTGATTTAGAAAATTCACAAGTAGAAAAACTTGGATGAAAAGCCCGCTTCTCAATATTAGAAAGGAAGCCTCTACGGATAAAGTAATGAACAAACGGGAAAAGTTACATATTTGTGTGCTAGGATATATGTGCATTCCAACAAATTAAAAGCAACTACATGTACAATCATTTCTGGCTCAACTAATTAGGTCGTAAACCAGGAGAAGATATGAATTAACCCCCACGATAGGACAGGATAACAAAACAATGAAAAAAAATCAAGTACAAAGGAACGAAATTATGCAACTCTTGCACTAGCTTTGCTTGTCTTGAGCTTCTTTAGTTCTTGAACAGATTCTTCACCGCCTGAAACTCTTGAACGTGTTGTGCCTTTATTGCTTGGGAGAACGTTATTATCCTACGTTAAAGTGGAAAATACAAAGGTTAGGAGTAATTTGATGGAAACGATAGTTGAAATTATTCCAAAGTAAAATGCCAATAAACCTTTGTAATGGATGTTGACGCAGTTTGTCCACTATTTCCTGTCTTCCCGAGCTCTATCTGCACTGAGATGCTGGCCCGAGACAAATCTACTCCTGAACTCTGTAAGGCTAGCGTCAAAGTATTTACCAACCTATTTAATTCCAATACAAGTTATGTTATTGACTCATATCAACCAATACTCTTCTTAAAGGGCTAACAGAAGGCTACTTGCCATAATACGTCTTCAGTGATCAACAAAAAAGTGCTAGACTACTTCTTCTTTATTTTCTTTTCTTTTCTTTTCTTTTTTCTTTTTTCTTTGAAAATTTACCTAGTATATAAAGTTATCCATCCATATGATGAGTATTGAGGTGGTACTACTGCGGCACTAGAAAGAATCTAAAGAAATTATTTGCAAAACCCAGAAAGAGGAGTTTGAATGAATTGAAAAGACTCAATAAATAGTTCAGCTTATCCTAGAAACAAGATCCGATTCATGTATTATTGTTAGAAGTAGCCTTCATTATGTGCTTCTAATATTTAGGAATCTAATTGTGCAACGAGCCGTATCTAAGTCAGAAGAGGATGTCCCCTGACCATCTTAGAAGAGCAATGCAGCTGGGACATAGATGTCAAAGTGAAAGTTCATGTATAATTTCACTTCTTGCACGGATTTCATGACTGCTAAAAAATCTACCAGAAGCAAACAAGCTATGTATAACATGAATAAGCAGGTACAGTATAATGCCTCAGAGGCAGGTAATTTATAATCCCTAGAGTGAAGTAGGCAAGGAGTGTGCTAAAAGAAAGTGGCACTTCACAGATCACCATTTAAGTGATCTAGTTTTGCACTTGTTATCATCTACTTGAAATATTTTGACTTATCATCAGGGTAATCAGACAGTACCACGAACCAACAGAGACGTGTAAGAATATGTGCATAACATGAGTTTGAAACTATAAATTGCAATATGCAACTCACCCTTGAGAGTACGCATTAGAGATGCTGATTGTACCACCTTCAACAGTCAGATCCTTTTCTTTCAGCTTATCACTAGCAACAGCCTCGTCAGTGCTCCATGACCTGGCATGGCATGATTGAGGTTGAGTTTGGCTTGCCAAGTTCTCCGCATCAGATGGCAGTCGAGGTGGAAACTGAGCTGCTGCGCCTGCAGTCCTGCCAGGATTGAAGTTCGGCTGCAGCGAGATAGGAAATGGTAATGATTTATTTGTAAAACCAGGATGGCGATCCATTGCATTAGCGGAGGTCATGTCAGATTCGACTGGATTCCGTGCTCCTCCAGGATTAATGGAAGGAGAAATGGTTATGTTTCTCTCATCTAACTTTGCAGCAAATAATAATGCAGGACCAGCACCACTATTCAAGCCTCGAGACTGATCAGCAGAACTTTCCACAGGCCTGCTATTATTTTTCTGTCGTAGCGAATGAGGATCAACTGATAGATTGCAATAATAACGAGCATCGCTCTCAAAAAACATAGTGGCCACAAAACATTAGAAAATATGAAGGTAATGTAAAATTTACCCATGGCACCAGTTTTGTTGTTTCGTGGTTCCATCCTTGGTAAGATGCTTCATATTTCTGTACTTTCTCCTGTAGAAACTGAATGTATTCAATGACCTGTAAAAAGATTCACAGACTTCATCATTTACACCATTTATTGAAGAAAAAAAACATAATTTTATAAGAAAAGTATGTACCTCTAAGAGAAAAGATGCTTTATCTTTCTTTTGATCACCACGAGGAATGAGTTCTCTCAGCATCTGAAATCTGCATGATAATTTCCAAATTTTACTGAAGCATAATGTTGACAAAAGCAGTCGTAATTATCAATTAAATTAGGAATCCTGCAATCCAGCAAGGGAACATGAAGCCCAACACATCCCAACCAAACCATTTCTCCTCCCACTAGAAACAAGTACTTAATTATGTTTGCTTCCACAAAAAAAAAAGTGATCAACTAATTAGCTTTGTAATGGGCTTTTTCTAGTTTACATCCATCGGGTGGGTTTCATGATAAAAGCAGTCCAAAAAAAGGAACAGATTGTGTGGAGTTGTGTTGCTTTGCCAAATTAACGTTCTTAAATTTACCGAAACTTCGCTTCTAACAAGTCAACAACGTTTTGTAGCTGATTAGAATAAAAGGTCCTTGGGTTTTGCAAATACGTCAATTAACACATGCCTGTCATTTATCTTGCTCCTCCTACGTTGCTCAGTTGCAGAATGCTTTGACCGAGGCGTGTCAGGTTTTTGGTCATTGCTCTTTCCGTCCACCTTCACCCTCAATTCACCTATAAATTTTACCACAAAGAAAACAAAGAAAAAATGTCATTAATTCCATAAACATACAGCTCCAATGGCCACAGCAACAAACTAAAACAATTTTTTTTTCAAATAAAAGAATTTTTAAGTCTGTGGATGCAACATAACTGTTATACGTTCACTTGTTTATATAAACAATAGATATACCTTTGCGGATAGGAGAAGGGGTTTCTTTCTTAAGAAGAAACTCCTCTTCATCGTCAACATCATCATCCAAAGTACAACCTTTGGCTGACTTTATCATTTCTATGAAGCTCTGGGTACTCCTCCTGCCTGCTAGCCTGTTAGAATACCAACAAAACAAAATCGCTTCATTAGATTTAGAAAGGGGTAAAAAAAAAAACATGAAAAATTAGGAGGAGGAGACGGACTGCGAGGTCGAAATAGAGTTGAAACTATTGCGATGGTTGTTCGATGAAGATTGTGACGGCCTCTCTGAAGTCGTCCACTCACCCATCTTCAATGCCGCTTCTGTTACGTGCCAAACATACTTCCAATCATCATTGATAAATTGTACGTAATATCATTTGAAACAATACTTGTCAATGGGTAAATTTGTTTTTACTTTTAAGCGATGACGAATGAACTGGAAGCATATTAAAGGTTCGGCCCAGAGCTCTAGCTCTGTGATTTTCATTTTTTGATTAATTTATTCTGTTATTGCTATAAAAAATAATGTAAATCTATTGTAAAAAAAAAATTTGCAATATTGCTATTTAATTATGAAATTAAAGATCAGATAACTTATCATGTCGTGGTCTGCCTACTCGATTTTTCACTTAAAATATTATGAAGAATTGGACCCTTTCGCCATGCAATGCTATCATTGTTTGGTTTTAAAAGTCTTCTCTAAATCGCCCTCGTCATATTGAAATCTACACATTGGTTTTTATTTTTCAAATCCGTAGTTTTTTTTTTTTTTTTTTTTTAGCAATAGCCTTATGGGTTGCCTAGTTTCGGCCCCAGCTTACCATTCCAGAGAGAGAAGCCATCAAATGAGACAAGCTTGGGCTGATTACGCTCGTTGGACCTGGTCTTTCCTTGGCTCACTGAAACTGATCCTGTAGTAATAACATCAGCACGAGATGCCCGGGACTAACTCGAACCCGATGCCTAATCTAATATGTTTTTATCATAGTAAATACATTTTGTTTTTCATCTCTTCAAGCAACCTAAAAACAACCAAACAATTTGAGCCTAAAGGTCAGTGAGTGAGGATTAGAGGTTACGTCGTGTTGTGGTGGTAAAAAAAAAAAAACTTTTGGTCAAACAACTGTTAGAAACAAAGATTGTAAATAATATATACACGAAGAAAGCAACTAAAAACTCTTCAAAATGGAGCTTTTCCATTTTTTTTTTTTAAAAGACACGAAATCGGCATAAATTTCATGCTACCAAACGAATTTGAAATAATTCTTTTACTGAAAAAAATCCCAACCCTCGATATCTAATGAATACCAGTGTAACCAAGTGCTCGTCATACCTATATTATCATGCAGTCTATTTCACTAATTTGTGCTTTTCTTGGGTTACACTAAAAATGAGGCCAATAAAACTTTATCGATATTTTTAAAGTCATATTCCTTGGCTGTATGTTGGCAGAACGGGATGGACATGCACATGCAAAGCACAACAATGGCAAGGAAACAAACAGAACACACTCGTACAAATAATTATTAAGTACCTCTTATAATATTGGATCTTTCTCCCACATTCTCCTTCCCTGTCTTTCCCTTTTTCAACACGGATTCTTCCCAAAGTGTGAATCCACTTCCTGAGTAAGAACTGCAATTTGAGTTGTCATCATTTTTATCGGTACTGCTATCTTGAGCTACTAAAAATATTGTGTTCTCTGGCTTTGGAACTCTTTGGTTGAAATAAGAAATTTGGCTGATACTGTACGTCCCAATTCCTCCAGGGAGGATGTGCTCAACCGCAGGTGGTGGTGCCGGAGGCGGTGGTTTTTCAACCGTCAAAACCTCAACGTTGGTTATTTCTTTGGCAGTGGTTTTGCCTCCTCGTTCCAGTGGTTGAAGAAAATCGTGTGTTTTGAGGTAGCCACCTGTTTAAGCATGGAAAAAGGGATGATCCTTTTCAGATGTAATCTATCCTACTAGAATTCCATCAAGTCTGTAATAAACTCTGAAATTTACTACTGAGTTAATTTTGTCAAGTTGAATGATCGATGATAAATAATTAATCTAGCAACTCAGCAAATGGCCACCAAAACAGGCTAATAAATCTGAACTCGAAATAATTCAAATCAATTTTATTTTCTTTTTTTGTCAAACTACAGATCCAAAAGCATGGTGCCATCTTTTTCGATGAGGAGGGAAACAAAAACCTAACTTGTAATTCTGTACAAAACTATGACAGAGTTAACAGAGCCTTGAAGAAGATTGCATGCAAAGATTAACCTACTCGTTCAGGGAAAAACTAGAAAAGTCAAAACTTCCCGTTAACATTCAACATGCTTATAGTATATTAAACACGTCAATATGAAAATTAATTAAGAGTTTCTGTAATTCTCGAATACTTCCGTTCTCCGACCCGACACCTAATATTTCATTTATATAGAAACTATTATTGATAAGTACACATTAATTAATTACCACACCGTTGTAGTCATTTGTGCAGATTAAATTAAGGACCATGTGAAGAGGAATTTTGATAAAGTACGTACTTCTCATTAGCTAATTAATTAATTATTTAAACTGTTTACGGGAAAACGACGGACTGCTTCTCCCTCTACAGAAAAATGGTTTGTGATTGCGATTTGCGAAAGAATAGGTTGCTCTACTAAAATAATACCATGACACCTGCACAAGAGAGGGGTGGATGTGAATCATGTGACCTGTCACATCATGTCTAACTCCTAAGAAGTAGGTCCCATATTAAAACAAAAAACAAAACACCATACGGCATGCCGATGCCCAATCTGATGGTGCTAATTGCTAACTTCTAACTCTTTCCTTTTCGGATTTAGCAAAGCCTATTTACCCTGCCCTACTCTACTTTCCTGGCCCAGATCCCATCATTCAGTTGGGTGTCACGTGCATCCACAAATCCTCACCAATCGACGACAAAAGTCTGTGATGGACTCTTTTCTTTGATTTTGAGAAACTAAAAACAATCTCTAAGAGATCTAAAAATGAAAATTGATAGTACCTTGACAAGGTGGTCTTGGATCTTGTTGGACAGTTGAAGAATGCCTGTACAGTGAAAGAAGGTCGTGTTTTGGTTTGCTTCCTGTAGAAAACATGCTTCATAATCACAGTTAATAACACATTACGATTTCTTTTAATCATTTCATAGGCTAAGATAATTTAAAAAAAGAAAAGAAATAGTATGTACGAGTGATTAAAATACCTTCGGTTCCGAAAGGACGTTGTTGAGGAAGCTCCATCCAAACGGAGATATCTTGTAATTCAATGAATATTTGTACGTTCTAAATCGCTTGTTATCAGATCCGTCTTTAAGGCTAGGAATTTAAATTTTCTTAAAAGATATGGCACCGCCGCCTGAGATCGGAGGCGCATTCACTTTTATCAACAAAATTGAGTATTTACTAAATCTTTTCAAAGAAAAAACGGAAATTAAATTATGAATGAATGAACGAACGAACGAACTAACTTCGGCCACCAACCACAACACCAAATCACAGATGTCTCTGCAATACAATTACTGCTAAAAGGGGGGAGGAGGGATTCTTGTAAATCAGAATTCTACGTCTATAAAAGTTTTGAATTTAAGATTATCCATAATTGAAGTCAAAAACTAGTTCAAAAGTTTAAGATTTCATAATTAAAGCTAAAAGTTTTAGTACCTTCGATCTGAATTGCGTGAATTTTCTTCCAGTTTCTGCTTCAAGAACAAGAATTCGAACACGAAATTCTATACCAGAAATGATCTAAATCATAGCTTCAACGAGAACGAAAATGCACAAAGAATCTCCTTTGAATTTCAAAAAATAAAAAAAGAATTGGGTTTCTCTATCCTTTTCTTCCTACAATTTTTTCTCTTCCTAAAATAAAAAAAAGAACAGTGCAGCAAAATAAAGGACTGCAAGTCGGAGAAACTCTCGCTCTCTCTCTCTCCCCTGCTGTTTCCTTGCTTTGGGATCTTTGTTTTATACAGCTTATTCACTAGCATGCTTCATTGTATTTCCGTTATTTCAGAAACGGCGTTTTTAACGTCGTTGCGGCGGGGCCGACGGCGTTAAGGGTCACGGATAACGTTTCCGTTTTGTTAGTCATGGAGTATTTTATTTTTTATTTTGTCTGTTGTCAACTGAGTTCACGGAACTCAATAATTTACTTGGCATTTGGCGTTCCCCATGAAAAAATTTCCTTATCTATTTTTTTCTGATTTAAGTAATTTATCAAATTTCTTTTTAATTATAGTTTGTCTCCTTTAATACCACAAGATTTGTTTTTTTTTTCTTTATCAAATTAACATTGTAAACTTAACCATGCGAGAGAATGACTTTGTTTGAAAAAAAAATCAGTGAAATAGTAGTTTAATCTTGTCATGCTTCAAAAACACTATATAAATTAAATATTATATTTTTAAAATATAATATTTAGATATTAAGAATTTTAAATCATAATATTTAATTAATGTTATGGTTTCAAAATGCAATATTTATTTGAATATTATAATTTTAAATTGCGACATATAAAATTTTAATTGATTGATGTCATAATTTAAAACAACAATATCAATTAGATTTTGAAATGGCTTCATATCTTATTATTTTGGAAACCTACTTTTGCAGAAAATAAAAAAATTAAGAGTTAAATCATGAAATTTGTCGAGTAGTGCATAATTATGTATTTTTCCTCAATCCCCGTACTTTATCTATTGTCTAGTAATTTTTATCGATTTACAGCTAAAATAGCTTTGAACACCCCTTAAATAAAATCAATCTAGTTACAATTGATTCCTTTTGTTAAGCTAGTTGCCTTTTTTGATAGGCTGGTTGAAGAAAAAAGTACTTGGATAAGAATTTCTCATGTCGAGATAGTCAAATAAGTGTTATCAAAGTGTTCATAAATTTTGCGCTTATGAAGAGTGGCAAGATATTAAATATTATAGTTCACAAACATGACATTTAGTAAAATATTATAGTTTTGAACTATGATATTATTGAAATATCATGTTTTTTAACCGATATATCCTCAAACTATGTTATTTCAACTAAGCCTTTTTATCTTGTATTATTTTACTATTTATTTATATTTTATGTGTTAATTGCCTAATTTACCTTGAAGATTTGAGACTTTATTATACCGCTTAGATTCTATCATAAATCCTATTGTGTTGTTGCATTTTATTTATTTTTTTATAATTTTTAGAATTAAATTCAATTCTTATGGTAAAATTAATTTATATATTTGAGATTTTTTAAAATGTGTTGATTTGAATTTCAAATGAAATTTAATTATTAAATAATTACCAAAACTAATAAAATAAGAGATTGCTTGATTTGCTGCAATATAATTAACTTTAAAAACAATATTTGAAAAATGTCTTTAACAACTTAAATCCTATTTTTTAGCAAAACCTTGAGTATGATATAACAATAATAATGACTAGACCCATAATAAATATTAAAAACTACATGGAAGGTTGAAGAGAGTGTCTTTTTATATATTTGACTTTTGGAAGATAAGATGAAAATAAAGAAACAATAAGCATTCTGTTGTTTCTATTTAAGACTATGTCTAGTCTTTCTTTTCTTTTCTTTTTTTCGAGTTAAATGATTAGTATTTAAAAAAATATTTTTATCAAAGTTTTATATCATCATTTTGTATTTAAAATATCAATAACTTCCCAACTAAAGCATGTTTTATAACAACAAGTCTGATAATTTATGTTCATCATAAATACAGGTCTATCATATAAATAAAAGGATTGATTGATAAGTTGAAATATTGAAATTGAAAGGACAAAAAGATGGTGAAGCTTATAAAAGAGATTAATCTTTTGGTCATATTATGTTTTTGGTGCCATTGCTAGGGAGGTAAATTCTTGTATAAATTATGATATTTATTTTATTTTCACTTTTCACTTTTCTTTTATCTAACTTTGTTTCGTTTGTTTTGTTTTGTTTTCTTCTTCCTTTTATTCTCCTCCTACACATGCATAAGAGTATGGTCACATAGATTAAGTGATAGACTTTGTAGAGTATCCTCATTATTTTCAAAAAATATAGTCGAAGAAGATAATCAATCACTTCATAATAAGAATAATGAAAATAATCATATTAGAACACTTAGAGATCACATGAATCCCACAAGAACAAGTGCACCCTCATTCATAGTCTTCCCTCTTATGCATCTTATTTTAATTTTAAGTCAGATATTATTCAACTTTTACCTTTTTTTTATGGCTTAGATTTAAAAAAATTTATACTTACATTTAAGAAAATTTGAGGAGGTTTCGAACACCTAGAATGACTCAAATTGTAGCATGAATACCATCATATTAAAGTTTTTTCCTTTTTCATTAAAAAATAAAGCTAAAACATGGCTATAAAATTTAAGATTAGGATCCATTCGCGCTTGGGATGAAATGCAATAATAATTTTTAAAGAAGTTTTTTTCATCTCACAGAATAAACTCTTTCAAAAGACAAGTCATCACTTTCATTCAAAAACCAGGAGAAACATTTTACTAATGTTGGAATAGGTATCAAGACTTGCTTAATACTTGTCCTCATAATGGTTTTGAAACATGAATATTGGTTTTATACTTTTATGAAGGGTTAACACCTAAAGATAGGCAAATGATTGAATTGATGTGCAATAGAACTTTTGAGGATAAAGACCCTAATAAAACAATAGAGCACCTAGACTTGCTAGCTGAAAATGCTCAAAATTAGGACACTATTGACACTTATGAGGTACAAAGTAAAACTCAATCTTATACATCTAGTGGAGGAATGTATAACTTTAAGGAAGATCATGACCTTCAAGCCAAGTTTGCATCTTTATTTAGAAAAGTCAAAGCACTAGAATTGAAAAGGAGTGGTCAATTAAAATTTGTTCAAAACATTGCGTGTGAAATCTATGAAACCAATGAATACTCAACCAATAACTGTCCAATTTTGCCTTTTTTCAATGGATACCTCCATAAGCATGCCCATGCTTTAAATGGTTTTCAAAGCCGATACTCGCAAACATACAACCCTAGTTAGAGAAATCACCTAAATTTCAGTTGGAAGAGTAATGCACAAACTTCACAGCCACCATTTTAACAATACCATAATTTTTAATATTTTTATGGATATGTACCTCCTTATATTCCCTCTTGTAGAAGAAATCTTGAGAAAACTTTATATGCATTCATTGAAAAGCAAGAGACAATCAACACTCAACTTGCTCAAAGTATAACAAATTTTAAAAATATTCTTGCAAAATTCACATCTACTCTTAGTTTTCAATAGAAAGGTAAGTTTTCATCTCATCCACAACAAAATCCTAAGGGGCAATACAATACAAGTACAAGTAGTTTAAAAAACCAACACATGGATCAAATCCAATAAGTCATTACTCTCCACAATGATAAGTGACACGGCCAAAATATTGATGTATTCTTGATTAGTACTTAAAAGTGCATTTTTATCAAGGTTTTATATCATCATTTTGCACTTGAAGTATCAATAACTCCTTAACTAAAACATGTTTTATAATAATGTATCTAATAATATAACATACCTATAATTTATGGTAAATGTCTATTTTTAATGCAGGTCTATCACATAAATACAGCCCGAGCACTGTTCGGTATTTTGGCCATATCTGGAGTTCTAGAAGTCCAAATGAGCTGAAT